AGTTAATCCTCTATAGACTTTGTTGCGCGGTGGTTTCTGTACGCGATAAGATACCGTGAAATAAATTCATCGGATACGCGGACAATATTTCGCGGAATCCCGCGAGTACTTAGAATCGATCTTTCCGCGTCGATCGATGGTTCAAGAAAGAGAAAACCGAAAACCGGCCTGAGTTTTATCAAAAATTCATTTCGTGGTTCCTCCAGTTTGGTTTCTCTTTCGTGACTATTTGCTTTTATTGTACTGTGATCTGGTCACATAAATACCTAAAAAGGGGGAATTGTTTGGATTTTGAAGCTTTCAAGAGGATGTCAGAGTCATAGAAAGACAATTTATCCGAAATATTACGGTCGAAAACTTGGATTTCGGGTCTTTCTTTATAAGCAAATTTCTATGTAAGTAATAACTAGACTGCTGATCTTTATGCACATTCATATTTTTATCAATGGAATGAATGAAATGGGAGCTTTGTTGAGGGTTATTTCCACCCTTAAATATAACAATTCGTATCTTGAACTATTTCTTATATTTTGTCACATCAAGGGCATTCTATAGTTTTTTAAAAATTTAAATTTCCTATAAATGCATAAATATCCGCAATCTAGTAATAACGAATGGCTACTATAATCGTATAAATAAAAGAATCGCCAATGAACATCTCATTCGATCGATTTTTCATCGAGAAGTGGACTTTGCCTTTCATACCAACTGGTCGTCCAAGCCACCAAAGTCTCGAACCCTTTTTTTCAACATCCTGTATATCTTCGCGGGCGCATTAGCCATTCATTCGCTGCACAAGCTCCGACAGCGAGCGGCAGAAAAATGAATCACCGATTCGTTATCAATCCCGAAGTCACGCCGCGGACTCACTAAATCATATCCTTATCGCACGCCGCAGTCGTTCGGCGTGTCCACACATACGGAAATAAATAAAAAAAGAAAAAAAAAAACGTAAGGAAAGGAGGAAGGAAAAAGAGGTGCTCGCGCGCGGTCGCAATTGCCGGTCGATATCTCGAAACGGTTCGACCACTGACGGCGCACAATCGACTGTCGAGCTGCATTTCTCGCGGCATTCTACCGCCTTTCCGTGACGGAATCCCGCGGGGCGGATTCCGCGCTTGTTATTTACCTCGCGTTTCGTGAAAATGATAAAAGGCGGAGCTCGTCGACCTGGTGAAAGTAGCAAACCATTGCTGGTCCACTCCCGAGATGGACAAGGATCGTCGATAAATGAAGATCGATCGATCTGGTCGCGCCATTTCGTGAGAAATGAACAGAATGGCCCGAGTGGATTACGAAGTCTCGGGAAAATCCTAGAAATATTAAATTGGTGGCAAAGATGCATCACATTTTCAATCGTTAAATGTTTAATTTTCAAAAAATTACTCTTTTTTTACATTTGAGAGCTGCATTTGAGAACGTAAAGTTTAATTGACCAGCATCAGCCTTTCACGAGATGAAATTCAGTAAACATTCGTAACGTTGAAAGAGTCGTTGAAGAACATAAATTAAAGATGCGAGGCAACCCAATAAAACCCCAAAGAAAGCGTCCCAGTAACGAGGAAGGACATGTGAAAAAAGGATAATTGATTATAATTGGTAGTACACGATTAATGGCGTGCACAGTATCTTATTGTTATTATTCCTTTATTTTATTTTTAACAAAGTACTTATACATTATTCGAGCACGTCGCTTTAGATACATTATATGCCGTATCCTGAATCCCACCACTAACCTCGAGTTCTTTCATCGTTAAAACGAACTTCTAACAGTAGCGCTCCAGACATGTAGGTCGCTAATCCTAACACTTGTTTCCGCGTAAGCATGCTTGTGGTTCATAAAATTCCTCGCATCGGTCTGCGTGGTATGCAAATACACAGGCGTTCGGTGGTGCTCGTGCTCCAAAACGGGGGATGGGCAAAAAGCAACGTGTTCGTGAGAAACACGCAGGTCGATGGAAAAACGCGAGATAATTTCCAGTCGTTGGAAGAAATAACTCAATTTGCATTCGTTGTTGGTGGTTCTTTCGTTAATGGCCAATACGAGAGATCACTGGGAAACGTTGCTGCTCCTAAAGGACATTTTCACGCGCTACGCAACCGCGATTTAACACAATGGAGTGTTAAGAAGCGCGTCTGATCGCTGGAAAAGGCGCGCATTGTGTCGGGTGACTCGGCTGGTTGATAATGACATTAAATGCGGTGAACCGTTGTACGGTTTTTTACGTTGCACTTGGTGAATCCTAATTAGACGACACCGATACCATAAAGAGCGAACCTAGAATCAAAAACGAGATCAAATTTTATTTTATAAACATGGAATTCATAGCAAAACCTCGATGGTTGCAGGAGAATAATTAATACAATTATGGGGGAGTGGTACCAGTCAAAATATAAATCTTGCAAATTAGCACCCTCAGTAATCCATCGTGAAAGTATTGTTTATTTTTAAATCAGACGTCCTTTAAATTTGATTTTAGACAACGTTTTCGTTGCACACAGTGATTTTCTAGTGGTTTGTTTGTGACAACGTGCAACAATAATATTGAATTCTTGATATTAGAAATATAGAATAAAAAGTTTGGGTATCAGAGAAGAAACTAGAATTCCAAGAGTATCGTCATCCATCCTTCGCAATATTCGCTCGCTCGCCAAGTTAACGGATCGAGCAAACTGGTTCAAAAATAGCATATTTGTCCAGGGAATCGAGTTTACCTCCGCGGGGTGTCTCGGATAAAACGCGCCGCAAGAAAGTCGCCCAATCAAAGTTCCAATCGAAGCTTAATCAATGATCTTCGAAGGAAACGAGCCGAGTTCCCGATACGTTGCACGACAGAAGCATTGGAGAGACACTTGGAAACGCGCGTTCTTCGAATTCTTTACGCGACCCGGTTTATTACATAAGAAACAACGGCCGTCCGCCGTAACGGTTACGTTGCACGGTGAAAATCCGCGGTAACAAACAAAATTTCTATTAGTTTTCCCACGTATGGAACGAGCTCCCGCGACCAGTTCTATCCCGAACGATCGGTCCGCTTCGCGCGCGACCTTACGCGAAACGGTAGCCGCCGATAAATCGATCGATACCAACAACAAAGGGAATTAAATCCATTTCGTACGCGAAGATCGCCACGATTATTTTATTCTTTGTTCAACGAGCAATTTTAAGCGATATCGATCGCTCCGCTGCCACGCCCGAATTAATTCCAGCGGCACTGCCAGGCGAGCAAGTGAAATCATGCTGCCTGGCTAATAAAGAATAAAATAGAAATGTATACAAATTTCGACAAACTTCTTCTTCATATCACAACTATTTTTCTACTCGAAGATTGTCGTTTCTGGTTTTATTGCATCTCACAACTTAAAACAAATCTGAATGGTCGAGAGCGATTTAGCGAGAAAAGAAAGGATTAAAAGTGATTTCGGGGGTAGCTCCGCCTCCCGCGGGTGGCGTAACCCTTTAAATTCGTCAGAGGCTGGGATCCTCGCGCGACGGAACGATCTTTACAACGTCCTGGTGAAGTTAACCGCCCCTCGGTGGCGATCGCAAACGCGCCGCTTCTGCTAAGGCGCAGTAAATACCGGTATCTGGTGTCGTAAAGTGCAGCATTGGTTTTCCACCGTGAGAGCTGGAGGGGACAAGAACGGAGCTGGAAGGAAATGGCGAAGAAAGGGTCGAAGGGAGGAGAGACAGAGACAGAGTGAGAGTGAGTGCAGGGTATACACACATATAGAGAGAGAGAAAAAAAAAGGCAGGCGGAAGGAGAGGGACGAGAAAGAGAGGACCAGGGCAGCTCACCGCGTAATTTATGTCTCGAGCGCGCCGCGGCCGCGTTGACAGTTGAAACACGGCGGCGGCTAGGATTGGTCGGCTCCGGGCGCCTTATAGGGTCGCGCGCATGCGCACACCGCCTTACGACATCCATCAGAGGCGAGCGGCTACTGCCGTCAGCGTGCCACTCTTTATCTTTCTCCTTTTCTCTAGCCCCCTTGCCCTTTGCCGATGTCAACCGAGCCGTAATCCGCTGTCACTTCGGATACTCTCCCCGTCCTCGTGTTCCGTGCCGGTTAGGTTGTTGTCCTATTTCGCCTATTCCGGTTAGCTGTCGCTGACGGCGGAGGTAATCCTTACGCGAACGTCTTCCGACGATGTCCTTTGCGGTCCCTCCTCGTCGACCACGGTGGAAAGTGTCTTCTCCTTCCCCGGTCGTTCGTCGCTTACTTTTACCCGATAAAACTTTTTTTTTTACCCCCCCTCCCGGTCGTCGCCGGAGGTTACAGGTTTTCAGGAGGCAGCCTCGGGTGTCTCTCGACGCCTTTTGTCCCCGCGGAGCTCTTTTCTCTTTGAACCTTTAATTGGATGCTCCTTGATTACTTTCACCGCCTGTTTCTCTTTGGTCATTGATTTTTCGCCGTCGACTTTTTTCTCGCCCCGACGACCGCCGTTCGAGTTTACTTGTTCTCGAAGTAGATCTGGATAGCCGTTTAAGGACCGCGAGGCGCGAAGATTTCATTCGAGTCGATTCTTCCACCGATCGGAGGGATTAGGTTCTTTCCAGGCCTGTTTTACGATATGATTATCGAACCGTGAAGAATGGAGCAACGATCCGCGCGCCTTCGAGCGCCGCGAGATCGCGTTGCTGAACAGGCGCCTGTTGAACAATCGTTTAATGGTACGACACGGCGCTAAGGATCAATTAATGTACCCATTCACACTCCGGTACGCTCCTTCCTCTGTTCACCGCCGCCTCGAACGAATAGAAACGTTTGAAATAGACACAGAAGAAGATCTCGACGCTTCGTCATCCGAACCTAATAAACGCGATCTCTCGTGGCAATTAAGAGAACGTTGCCTCGCGTTTCATTTCGATAGCCTTCGGTATTACGCAATCGCGATCAGCGGTTCGTTGAGCAACCGTCGGAGTGACCGTGCGGCGCCGTCGTCTCCTCGCGAAACCCGAAGTTTCTAAAGTCCTCGACTCCGGTGTTTGTTCCAGCAGCCGGCCAGCTCGCAGGAGCGTGGCAGCGGCTTGGCTGTGGGGCGTCAAGGGGGGCCCGGCAGCGCGGGGGGGCCCGGAGCAGTGGACCAGGCGAGGGACCTAAGTCCCTGCCTCCCCGCGTCCATGGGCGACGCTGCACGACCTACCACTTTACCGTGCAGTCCTCCTGCCGCCCACCATCACGGGCCCCATCATACGCCCCTGCATCAGACCCACTGCGGTACCAACAACAACTGCTACGACGGACCCACCACCCCCTACGACTCTAGGGACTACGATTCTCCTGGAGGTTGGTTAATTTCTGCTTTGAATCGGGCTCTCCCTGAATCATTCAAACTCTGCCATCCGCCCTTTACGTTGTACACTTTTGTAATACTTTCGTTTCGATATAAGTACTTTAAGATCCTACAAAGTCTTCGTTCGCATTATAAATTATTACAAAGATACAAACAAAGGTCGATATCCCATTCATGATCGTTCCTTCCTGCAGCCTTCTCATCCCCAGCCTCTCGTAGACCAATTTGTAAACGTGCCAGGAATTGTGATTGATCGTACAATTTTTTTTTTACCCAAGTGTTTAAATATCGATTAGGTGGACAGGAGTACAGGAACAACAATAGCAACTTCGAGAACCCGAGCGACCTGAGCATGCCGCCCCAAACGACCCACCACCATCATCACCATCACCACCACCATCATTCCCATCTGCATCACCAAACTCACTCGCAAGAACAGCAGACCACGGAACACTTGCACGCTATACCGAAGCTGGAGCCGCCGCCCACCCCTCCAGCCCAGTCCGAGGACGTTCCAGGGGTGGTTTGCGCCGGATGCGGCCTGCGGATATCCGACAGGTTCTACCTGCAGGCCGTCGACAGGAGGTGGCACGCCGCCTGTCTTCAGTGCTCGCACTGTCGTCAGGGCCTCGACGGCGAAGTCACCTGTTTCAGCAGGGACGGAAACATTTACTGCAAGAAGGACTACTATCGGTGAGTCGATGCCACGTTTGTTAAGGCGGTTACAACCCCCCGGCTAGCAGGGTTGAAATATTAGCTGGAAAACTTGTTACGTAATCCGGTGGTGGTCAATTTGATTCCCGTCGTGGGTACAAATAGGGGACAGTACGTTTCAACAGAACATCTAACTCCTATTCCCATTGGTCTTGCAATGGTTTTCCACTGGTAATAAATTCATTGCAAACATAGTAATCAGATGGGACATTTTTAAAGTTAGATTCATTATACGGAAGCTAGTCGATGATCTTTTATTAAAAGCAGTAATTGTTGATCCCTTAATAGCGAAGAATCAAATGGAATTATTGTTAATCTGTGACAAGTTTGCAAGTACCAAAACGACAATTAAATCTCTAACCTGTAAAGTCGAGGTGAATCGTAGCTGACTGGTAATAAGTTAACAGGTATAATTATAGACAATAATTAGATACTTCGGAAGAACACTGAGCACTGAAACGACCTTACTCTACCGACGAAACAAATGGAATACACGTTTTATCGAATCAAGATGGTAACCGGTGCTCGCGTTAACGTTAATTACGAGACCATAACCTCCAAAACCAGTGAGAATAGTTGCCAACTGGTAATCATTTTACCGCTAGAGTTGTAATAATCATAATGATTTCTATCCTATGCTAGAGCCAGTTAATTATGGCGTTCGAATCCTCAAAGCCACGGTAAACGATTGCTAATTGGTAATAAGTTTATTATAGCAGTTAGTTAGATAGGAAACCTCGAAAGAACAATCTATATCTCTTTAACCCCACCGCACCGGTCGTGGATTAAAGCTTTCAATTAACAATCCGCGCTTGTACCTATGAATCTTCGCTGATTATCTTCCCGAGCAGAGCAATTAGTCGTGACCGCGAAAGAGTAGCGTCTCTGTCGTTTATCAACAATGTTTCCCGTGGAAGTGGGTGCGGTTAGGGCTGTATCGTTGCTTTCGAGCCATTATCTGTCGCGTGCAACCTTGACAATTTTATACGCGCAACTTTTACAGTGCACCTGCAGCACTTCCGGAATCGCGAACTTTGTTTTCTCCCTTTTGTCATTATTTTGTTCGTAATGTTCCTTGTCGAGAACAGTGTTTAATACTGTAGGTTCATAACGTCATAAACTTCTCATGTTTTATAATTTTTTACAGTAATATTTCTAAAGATCTTCAATATTTCTTTGACCTTCGAAGTTCGCTCGTTGATCATCGCCGTTTACTTCAATCTTTCTTTCGCGTTTTTTCTGCTTCCTTCTCCTCTTTAGCTGACCAATTTCCATCGAAATTATATTGTTCTCCGTTTCCGCGGCGCGTCGTACAATTTCAATAACGAACAATCCACGCAACGGGGTCAGCTCGTAACAATCTTCAGAGAATAGTCGGGTCGCTCGTCACGTCAGCAAGTCAAGCGAGAAGCAATTTCTGTAATTTCAAGAGCCGTTTGAAGACGTTGTTCGAGGGTACTCGTGCCGCATCGAAGCGGACGCCGTTTTGCGCAACGCGTCGACGAAGGCCTCCGGGTTCTTTTCGACCGGGGCACGATAAGGGCCCGTTTTATCGACGTGCACGCGATTTACATCAAATTACCGTTATAACGACGCTGAACGCGAACGAATCGAGCTGGGAATAACGATAGAAGTATCGCCGCCATGACAGTTGCCGCGTTACGTTACTCGAATCGACGCGAAGCTGGTCAAGACTCACTTTTCCGCTTGAAAATATAGAAAATAATACAAATTAGAGAAATAACTAATTTTTATTGACTTAAGAAATTTCACAATCACTCATCAAGTCTAATATATTAAAATCAATGCATTTTTACGTTCATGAGGTATTCCTAAAACAAATCTGTTCTTCTTCGTAGTTACTTTTTGTACTCACAAATTTAAACAGAATTAAATAATACACGTTTGAGGAATTATTTGTAATTAAATCGTACGTCAAGGGGGTGATGTACTTGAACTATTTTTGGCAGAATTACTGACTCTAAAGTCCTCCAACGTAAAAAAGTTACAGCCGCCATTGTGAATGTTTTGATAGCGTCGAAAAGCATTTCTGCGCGAATAGTTAGTCGTTTGATCAGTCGTACCGTAATATATCGGCGATAAACAGTACGCCGGAAGTTACGCGAGCGCGTCGGCTTCCGCAGGGCGGGAAAAAGCGGAGTTTTTAAACATGGATGCAGGAATGCGCGGCGTTGCGTCTCTCCGCGGAAATTCCGCGGCTCCTTTAACGGGCGAATTCCCATACGAGACCCCCACCAATGCACTTGGCACAGCTTAATAAGCATTCTCTCACGTTTCGCCGGGTCTGCGGCGATATTTCCATTCCGAGGAAAACAATTGCAACCCCTTCCCCCCGCGACGGGCTCGTAGTAAGCGGAAATCACCTGTCTCGCCATATTTCGCGCGTCGATACGAGACACTGATCCACGAACTCGAAGGGGACTCGCGATAATTCAGCAGGTATACGGATCTAACCGGGACACGTAATCTTTTCGAGCGAAAATCGCTGCCTTTAAACGCCTTTGAACGAAACCGTCCACCGTTTCTCCGTGATTTTACATTCCGGTTCGGGGTACGTTGTTTCCGGTATTCGAACGCTTTCGATTTGGATTACAATTTGTTCATTAACGCTTCGTTAAAAAGTTATTAACGTTCAAAGTTCCGTTATGACTGAAAAATTTTCGACGAAATTAAAAAATGTCAAATCATTCTGAAAAAATTATTTTCGATTGCAGGGGTCGATTACAATCATTTTTGGTCAATAGACGTACCCCTGAATTCCTACCCATTTTCTAGAAAAAAATTCGAGAAGGTGTGGAATTTTTCGGCGAAATTAAAAAGTTTCAAATCATTCTGGAAAAATTATTTTCGGTTGTGGGGGTCAATTACAATCATTTTTGGTGAATACACATACTCCCGAAATCCCACGCAGTTTCGAGAAAAAAATTCCCTATGGACCCAAGGTGACCGTAGTTTGACACTTGAGAATCTCTCGTTAAAATTTTTCCCAGGGACGACCAAACACCCTTTATATTAAAATCAACACATTTATACATTCACGAGATATTCGTAGAACAAATCTATTCCTTTTGTGACCATTCCTTGTACGAACAAATTAAATAGTATACGTTTGAACAATTATTCGGAATTAAATCGTACGTCAAGGGATTAAGAGACTGAAAGCGATGCAGCCATCTTTTCCTCTCTATTTTGTCCAATATCGCATCTTTTACTCGACTATATTAATGGAACTCAGAACTATATGGTTGAAAGTATAAATAAAGAAGAGATAAGCATGTGTAGTCTTGTTTTATCGCGAACCGTGATTTAACGAGACGGTCTAACGTTTGGAATTACATATCGTCGGAACAGCTACTCGCGATTCCCGATCTAAAGCATTTAAAGATGATCGTTTTCCATTTCTTTATTCCCATAAGTAGATAGTAACAAGGGGCATGTGAATATTCCGGCACGGTATCTTCAAAGTCGATTTATTACCATCGATTCAATTCACCACAGGTGTGCACTATCAATTCACACATCATATATGTGTGAGATCCTAACAATACTTCGTGAACTCCATTTCCACCTTTCATGTTCCTCATAACGTAAACTCCCCAGTTCTTAGGTGGTCGTCGACCAAATCGAGTTATCCAAATATCTTTAAATTGAAATAAAACACAAACTATTTGAGATATTTTTAATAGCAATGCTCCAAGCAATATGATTATTACAGAATCGATGTATCATACGTTTGTTCGATGGAAAAAAGGATAAGAGAAGACACAACATAAATTTCATGCTCTAAATCGTATCTCACGCATTTATTAATTACTAGAAAACAGTCGATTAAATGTGTATAAAATGGGGATCAGAATAACAGTAACAGCAATTTATTTTTTATTTTCGTCGTGAAATATTTATGTTTATAATTGAAATTCGTATCTCCAACGTGTAATGGATAAACACTCGTTATCGAAATTCGCAATCTGGATAAGAATTTTCCACGTCTCAGATCTCGATCAGCTAATCGAGAATCGCCTCCTAAGCGTAAACGACTGTTAATTTACGAAAAAAAAAAATAGACTCACAGATCTTAACGCAAGGAGCAAAAAGGTCTAGTACCAGGAGCTTCTAAAACGAAGATTTGTATCTAAAAAATGCAATTATTCCTCGAACATCGCGCGTTATTTAATGCATTGCAAGATGGCGTCGCGCGTAGAGCGCTGCTCACCGACCAAGGAGACGACGGAGAAGAACCGCGTTTCCGCGTTTTATAAATATTCATTACAGAAGAAATAGTTATAATTTTTGCTCCTTTCGTTCAGATCTGTGCAACGATATACCGTTTCCTTCGTACGAGTTCGAAATATTAATCGTCGATCTTATTCGTACGAACAATGAATCGTGTTCGTTAAACGACACACACAACTCGTTACCGAACGCGTGCTTCCCACTTCTCTTCGTCCGCCGGCGAGGAATGAAAATATCAACCTTCCCGTTCATCGCGATTCGCTCGTCCGCCTGCTGATCGTCTCGGACAGATCGCCGCGCAAAATAATTTAAAGGTTCATGCGGGAATATCTCGGGGTGGACGTTGGTAGAGAGACAGGAACATCGTGTTGGGCCGTGGAAGGCCTCACACGGCGCGGATATTAGCGTACTCCCTCGCCGGACGATTCGCACACACGGACAACAGCGTATGTACGGACTGACCAGTCCGTGGACTAATGGTCACGACTCGACCATTTACCTCCGGCGAAGCGTCGATTCTTGATAAGTAAATCACCGTCGATCTACATTTCACCAGCGCCGGACGATATACACGTGCAACGGCCGGACGTCATCCGATGGCGCACCGGCGGCCGTCATCCCCCGGATGTCCTCGGTGCACTTGCTCCATTTCGTCCTTTTTCCTCCACCTATCCACCTTCCCCGACGATAAATCTGTTCTTATTCCTTTTTGCGTCTAACAAAAT